TCCGTGTTCATAGTAAGTCACCCAGATTATGTTCCACCAGTTTGATCCCATTAAATTAAATGACCAGTCAATGCAATCATGAAACATTCCCAGCTACCCGCATATATTTGACGAATTAACAAACTAATATCAACTGTAGTAACAGTTACCGTTGCCAAGTTTTTATTCCTGTTACCCTTATCTTCAATCTTACGTCATAACTAGGTTATGTTAATTTCCTCACACAAATCGAAAATATTTGTCGAATGCTAACAAAACATAGTTGCACCTAGTGAAGACTATAAGATTACTAGGGAATGATCGAAAAAGTCGAATGAGATAGGCTTTATGAAAAGTCGGCATTATGTGGAGTACCCCTGAAGGTTGCAAGCTATAGAACCGATCTAGAGACCTCGGTCACATGAAGTTTAACGTCTACAGAGACAATTCATAGAACGGTAGTGTTAAGCCAAAAATACAGTTTCTTGAAGGTGGTTTGTGAAATGTGAAGACACTAAGGATCACAAAGACGACTTAAATATCTTGATACTCACCAGCACCACACGAGTGAGCTTATGAGCTTGGAGTAAAGTTTACCGTAGAACTGAGCGACACAAGCTGCAGTATAAGATGGGATATTCTACGAAGCTGTGGCTTGTGTGATGCGCTTGTGTCGATTTCTAGGTCTGTGACCGTCCCCAATTATCTATGCTCAAATGATTCAAATGCTACTAAACTAATAGGCCTAATGTAATGTATTTGACCAATCACAGTGTGGTTGCTCAATTCATATGATTTTACGTTGACTCCAGGTCATTATCCATCCTGACTGCCACGGTAGTAATACGAATGAATCCTGCCTTGTGAAAAACTTTGAGGAATAAATAATATCTTATTAGTAGAACTTATTAAATATAAGGAAAAAAGTATAACACCCAATGAACGTACCTACATGGACGGGACAGGACGTCACGATAATGTTCTCATACGGACATTTTAATCTTTTCAGTTGCTCGTGAGTGTAAGTTCGTTCCTTCATTTTTTGATGTGCTGAATGTAACGAGGCATAGAGTCGAGGATCACGGTAAATAAATTACGTCCCCTTTTTGTACGTTCGATCAGTAGAAGTCCGAGTCATAAAAATTCTCCAAATTCAGACTCATATGAAGAAAATGAACAGTCCCTTAGTTTCAAAGTTTCCCGAACACATGTGTGAAATACCGAACTGAAACATGTTACAAACCTAAACTTCAAGATAAAGCAGTGAATCAAAATTCAGAGCGGCGAACGATGTTCACAATAATAATAGCAAGTCAGTTAAGTACTATTAAATTACCTAGCTTCATGTAAAAATGAATTTAAAATAATTATTTGTAATTGTGTGTATCCAAAATTGACTTCATTAGGAAGAACTGACAAACTTCACCTTAAAAATTCACTATAGTTCAATCCAAACACATAACTACGGAGAATAATTGAAAGATAGGAGTGTAACCAAATAGGTTCAATTGTGGCCATTATTCATACATTGTATGATTAGTTAGGTCCTATAATCACCTACTATCTGAAATTTTAAAAATCTTTCAACATGAACATAAGAGCTCAGTGCATAATCTCCTATCATACTTTTAGATGTTAACTTAATGTGATGTAACTAATTGATTTGCAAAGTCTTATAGTGAAGACTTTTTCTTGAGACAACTCACTATCTCGGTTCATCATAACACGAATGACAGTTTGATTTTTTTCCCCAGTGTAGTCTGAAATCAAGAAGGGCTTTACCAGTTATGTGATCTACACAGTCGGACAGATTACTGAAAATTAGTTTATTTTAAATAATAATTGTTATGAGTGACCTTGTTTAATATCTTATCTTCGGTACAATATATAATTTTCAGCACAAGGTATTTCAACAAGTTTCTTTCAAAAAAGTGAAACAAGTGAAAGAATTTAGCAATTGTATACATATATACATGAATTAAGTTAATAAAATGCTTGGAAGTAAATGAAATTTTTTTAGGAAGACTTGAATCTGTAAAACGTTTTAATTAGAAACATGTTTAAAAATGCAAGATATTGACTAAATCAACTCAAACAATCTGTTCATCACAGCATATTTTCTAGATAAAGTATTGTAGAACATGGACTCTAATGTATTGATGTCTTGTTCTACCGGATGTTCAAGGAGAAAGATATGAATGAAGTGGATTATTAGTATTAGAAAATATTGGACCTGTCAAGAGTTTGCAAGACTCCAGATGTGTATCCATAACCATATTAATACCAGATTCAGCGATTCACAATATATCCTGCGAACTGCCTTCAACACTCTCCGCAACACAGTGAAATGTTTTCTCAAAAGCCCAGGAAAGTATAATAAGAAATAGAAGAGAATAATAGTTAATGTACGAGAATTGACAAGTTGTAAGAATGAATTCTGAGTAGTGCTAAAAGCATATAGCCTCTTTATGCAGTAAGTCAGGCGAAAAACTTTCGTCGATAACAATAAGACACGAGAAGACCAGAAGAGATCATGGAAAAATGTCATATCGAGACAATAAACCTTCGACCATATGTTTATCAAAGAACCTCCGACAGTTCAAGTTTTATGGGATTCCAACTGGGTGTTTAGGTGTTGTTCATATCTCAGGCTAAATTTTACAGTTTGACACTTAGATGGGTCAACTGTGAGACCATTACCACAAGATTATCGTTCAGTAACAAACAAGAGCTCGTTCATTCCAAGGGTATGTTTAGAGGTAAAAATCGTGATACATACAATGAGAAGGTCTGGATATTTGACAAAGATGTTTTCTGTAGGCGGCAAACCATGAAGAAAGATAGAGTAAGAAATACAGAAAAGAGCAGTTCCTTGTGTATAGTCGTCATGAATCAGTAGAGAAATTGAATACATTCCTTCAAAGGATGCACTGTTCTCCTCCAAAGAGCTAGTAACACAGCTAGTTTGTTATTCAACTGTGTTTGTCGACGCTGATTAACTTGTTATGTAAAATTTGTCTCAGGATAGTGTCAAGGGCAGAAGTTTAGTCAAGAAAAGAGCATCGAATATACTTCTTACCCTTGTTCAAGCTGAACACTATATCATAATGCACAAAAACAGCAGCGTCCAAGGTGATCCTTTTACATTCGTAGGCAAACTGTTACGACAAATGTGTTCTTTTAGTGCAGGTTGAAATAGGAGTATCAATAACTTCCCCACTGTTCGATAACTAGTGAGGTTTAGGCTATGAGTCAAAATTTTACATCTCATTAAACATTTTCTCAGGTTTCTTTATCTTTCTCCACGTTTGAAGTATGATTTGTAAAAGATACCCATGAATGGATAACACAGAACGTCAGCAATTTTAAAAAATTTGGGATTTCGTTAGGTGCTAAACACTGGGACGAGTTAAGTGACTGGAGGCATTTTCGAACATCAATTTCAGTGAAAAAATTAGAAAACAGCCATTCTTCAAACCTGTAGATATAGAAGACATGACATCAGATGGCTGACGTACAAAAGACTTATCTGTAACAAATGTTCAGCTGCCGATCGCCTCAAATGTACCTCTTGTCCGTAAGCCCGGTAACTAGTTCCCACATATTTGAAAACTTTTTAAAATAGGAGTTTCTGAGTAAATATCAAGTTCATACGTCCGATTTCCAGGTTTATTAGACTGTAGAATTATGGTCTACTATGATATTATCACTGCTCTAATAATAGACCTAATCCTACAACTGTAGATTTGTCATGATATAACTGCCTAATCTATAAGATCTTACGTGGAAGTCACATCACCAACTCACTGCATCGTGACAATCACCAATACAGAGTAAAAGATCGACATCAGTTCACATTTACAACTATATTTACATTGCCGCCGCACCTTTCCTTTATTGCTTGGTCGCGTCTGAAGATAAGTACTGAAACTTTCTAATGACACTAAGCAACCATCTCGTAAATCATTTGATCAGAATCCTTGAATTGTGACCACATCACAACTCCTACACATGTTCAGAATTAGAAGCCAAAGAAAATTTACCATGCCAATTAGTGACCGGCAATCGTAAGTTATCAGTTCAGGAATCGGCAACTTATTGATCTTCAATCTTTTCAATGCATATTGCCAGCCATCACGATGTCTCTGATTGTTTTTTGTAGCTTGTCAAGCGCTAAGTTCTGAAATTTCTATGCACACAACTGAATAGGTTATACGACTAACTGACATAATATTGTATTAAAATAAACAAAATGGACAACTTGTTGAAATGTCTAGATGGTAGGAACTGCTAGCCCACATATTCATGCATGCTGCTCACTGTGGTTAGTTCACTGTACAGAAAACAGTGACTACACCGTTGCATTCGCTGAAAAATGACTCTGACTGATTTTTCCAAGACAATGAGTGGAATCGGTAAATCATTTGACATCTGGTGATCACCCTTCTGTGGTATGATTACGTTTAACGTGACAGATAATTCAGCCAGTGTTCAATGGTATTCAACTGTCATTTATTAACTTTCCTCTCATTCATATTCCTTTATATATCTGAGTCCCGATATTAAAACATCAAAGATCTATTAAATAAAGAAACAGAAGCTTTTTAAGCATAAATTCCTTCTGTTCCTTTCACAAACATTTCACCTATTTTTGGTTCCATCGACAGATCTAGGGACTCTCTAAATAGGATGGTTTACTGCTACCCAAAATGTTCAGCAACACTTTGAAGTTAGAAAGATGGAGCTATATGATATGATCAAACAATCCGTATCAGAGTGTCTTAATGTTGGTAGTCATAAATAAACTTATTTTGGCTATCAAAGAATATCTCCTTGCTTAATCAAATTCTCTGAAGCAATGAAAAGTATGTTTTCATGATACAAATGCGATGTATCAACGTTCTGGCTTTATAATTTTATCTGCGAGAGTTCGAAATAACTTTTCGTCACAATGTTATTGAATATTGAATCATCTATTTTCCATTGTTTTGACGTGCGTCATTTTCAATATTTGGCGCGTGATGTCTACTCCGGAGGGTGTTCTGTTGCCAGATGGCCGGAGAATTGGAGATCTGAAAGTTGCTGATCTCCGGAACCAACTGGAGATTAGAGGTCTTAGTCGTTCAGGAGTGAAAAAAGATTTGTGCGCACGCCTATCAGATGCTGTGGATGGAGAATTGCGTCAAATGAAAAATGTAAGTTACCACACAAATCTGCGGGCTCCTGAAACACCTGTTTACCATACTGATTCTCATTGTGAAAAGTTATGTCATGACATGTTTAAGGATTCTAGGAATGACAAAGTGCTATAAGTTCTTTGTGAATACTAAAGTGTATACTATTAGTCAGTGTACTGACCAACTTATAGGTTGTTTGGAATCCAAGTCACCTATAGAAAAGAGACGTAGTATCTGTGTTTATTGTTTCTTTTTTTACTATGCTTGAGATAGAATCAATTGTCAGAAGGCAGTTAAGTTGTGACGTTTATCAGGTAATGCTCTTGAGCTCCAAATAAAGTATTAAAAGTGTATTTAGGTGAGGTCTCAGGATACAACAGCCCCATCCATCTACTAGCTCAAAGTTTTCTTACAAACTGAGAGTAACCAGGATTCTGTCGTACTACTCGTCTGCTTCAAACGAACGGTCTGTACTTTTTGTTTATCGGTGGAGGGCATAGTAAGTATACACATATCAACTAGTGACCGGTAATTCACTACCTCCTAATATATGGCTCGAACTTAAGCAAATTACTTCTGGGAAGTATTTAGATTATTATTTAAATATGTTAAAACAAAATTAAAGCTAACAATAGACTTCAAAAGCCTTGCTAACAGTAGTATCAAATGCATAAAAGTAGATTGGGAAGCGTAAAGAGCCGTACTAGTTGGATGACAGTTGGAAACGGTAATCAAATTGATATAACTCAATTTCATGATTGCATTAAAAACTCTCTGTGTATGTAGTACATCTTTCACACGGAATGTGTTGAAACCTTAACGTGAGTGCCTAGAAATTACATTGGTCATAAATAAAACGTTCCTTTCGTTGTGAAGACTGTTTTGACTCGAATAGCACTCAGGTTATAATAAGTCACCACCCATTTTCATTCATTTTAGGAGTCTGGATCTGTTGCTAAGTGTGTAGAATCAGATCCCCTTGGTGGTAATAATAATGTACAGAACGAAGATACTTTAGAGATTGACGCAGTCGCATCGGACGAAGAAATTACTGAAGTGTCTACATCTGCTGATATATCCGAGGTCAAGTAAGAATAAATGAATACTTCCATTTTGTCTGAATCCGTTTTTCATTTACTAGTTGAAGCTCCTATTCAGTTGTCAGTAATAGGTCTCAAATAATTGTTTAAGTTTAGTTGCCACTTCATGTCACAACAAGAAAACTACAGTAAGGCTAAACTGAAAGTGGTACCAAAAGCTCTGTAAATTTTAACACAATAGTTATAGCTTAAAACGATCGGTTGCGATCAAGGAATAAAAATTTAAGCATTAGATTTAGCCGAAAATTTTTGAGTGCAATGGAAAATCGATACAACATACAACCCAACGCTTTCAATTATTAGTTGCAAGTATTGTGTGGATTATAACCAAATCACGGAGTCACCTAATAGACAAAAGTAGTCAATTGGAGCCCAACTTTGAGAGTTTGTCTTGAAAATTCTACCAATCCTTATCAAACCATGTCTTCTGGCTAGGATTAATGTAGTTCGTTCAAGAAAGTCTAACACCTAAAACCAATAATTTTATCTAAAAGTCTTGTGATTGGTTCCAGGTGAATCTTCACATTCTTCTAATTACTTATGCATTTTTCATTGTTTAATAACGGCTTACATAAACCAAAGCAAAATATTTGGTATGTAGATGTCTCTGAGTATATTTACTAGTTAACTTTCTGCACATAAATGTTTACATCTAAATGAAAAATTCAGGCACCTATCCATTGACAAATCGAGTTGAGATTCCGTTCATATGTATTTGAATATTTATCTTTCAAAATATGTTGCGCTGCAATCTATGTAGTTATGCTTAACCATGAATTTGAAGAAACTGTTACCTAAATTTCAAATAAGAGTTGTTCTTCACTTCCATGTTGTGACTTCAGTCATTTTTGTAATGATAACAAAATTTTTTCTCTCTCTCTCTCTCTCTCTATATATATATATATATATATATATATATATATATATATATACTTATCTGAACACAAATATTTATACGAAGAAACACCGAATACATGTGTGCCACACAAATCATTCGATCTGTGTGAGTCTGGAATACTGCCTGTGCACCCGAACGGAAATAGGAGGTTTTCTTAGGGGGTCGCAACCCATGCCTTTGACTTAAATGTCTAATCCGCAAGACAGTGGAGTAACGTTGGGAAATGCAGTCCTACGGTAACCTGTGACCAATAATAGACTCATACGCCATTTGTTTCTTTAGGATCCGGGAGCCGGTGTGCATCATTGGTTTGGAATTGTGGTTTTCGAACTGTCCCCTAGATGTATCTCCCATGTCCACCAACCCGGTTAAAGCGTTGGCCATTCGCATTTCGTAAAAACACGGTTGAGGGAAGGTAGTTGGTAGGACTTCTGTGAGGGCGTCTGTATACGCGTGATAATGTGAGAGCATTTCAAGAGGGTGAGCGGACTCTTCGCACCCTTGACCATATCAGGGCAATTTTACTGTGTGAGGAAACAAATTAGTTAATGGTTCATTCACTCAGACGAACCTCTAAATACCTCTCACTATTGTTTTTGCTATGTTTTACTACTATTATTTAAGTTTATCTCCTATGCATTATGTGTCTCACGTGTGTTTATTCTGAAACTGACATCTTCCGGTATTGGATAGCGTTGGTTTCGAATTTGGCACCATAACAAAGACAACACTGAACCATTGGTCCCACATTAATATTTAATTATCTGCTGTTGGACTAGAAATTTCCAGCAATTGATACACCAGGAGGTCCAATTATTTACTTAGAATACACATGACATAGTCTTGTCTGGTGCAAACGCTGATAAAATGCAGTCTTTTGACAACACTATGCAATAATGTCAGGATGTTCGTGATGCGTTTCTCCTCTAAATGCAAATTGTTGCTTTAGGACTGGCCTACGTCAACACTCGAACTTAGGATAGAGAGTCGAGTAGTTAAACGTGTCGACAACCTCACTTATCTTGGAAGTCTGGTCAGCCTTTATGAGTTGGTGTTTGACAAAATCTCTACACGGCTTCAAAAAGTCCGTTTCCCTTTTGCCAACTTACGTCGCCAATGGCGAATGCGGTGGCTTGTACGTGCACTATGAATTTCGTCCTAGCAATTTCACATCATGCATTATTTACAGAGACAGATCGGTTGGAATTGGCGGAAATGTGATCAATTTATAACACAGTGACATACGGAAGATGGCTGTAAGAACAGATCCTTTGGTCATTCTCGATTCCCTTGTTGATGTCCTAGAGGTAGCGCAACACTGACTTAAGACATCAAATATGGTTCAAAACAAAAGCCAAAGGCGGTCCTGTTGTAATTTTTTTTTACTTTATATAGGTTAGAGGAGCTTCTGTACTTCAAAAGTCCTATGTGGTTGCATTTTTCCTTATGTAACCGCTTTTTCGTCATATTTTTATCCATTTGCTGTTTTTACTTATATTTATTTTCCTCTGTCTTCACAATGACAGCTTATCGTGTGGCACATATTTTAGTGTCTATTTGTACCACATTTTGTGTTTAGATAATAAATTGTAATACTTATCATGTTAATTTATCTCTGCGCATTATTGCTATCTTGCTTTGAAGAACTTAATTAAAGTGACACAGCATCGTGTAAGCGATATCTTCACTGCACTCTAGTGCTGTTGTGAAAGTAGTTCATACTTTTCTCAGCAAACTTAGTTTCAATGTATTATTATACTAAACACATTAATAGGACCAAAGAACCGTAAATTGTTACAGTATAACTAGTTACTACATTGTACTTTGTTCATATTAATTCAATCAAGACATTTCATTTCGTTTTCAGCATTGAAATAGCTGTAAGTTTAACTGTTAATATTTGATACTTGATATAATCTATTCTTAATAGCGTAGGAAACATCAGTTGTAGTATGATCGTGTATAGATGTGCTTATAGATTTTAGATCACTTGTAGCATTAATGGTGGATTTATGCAATTATAATGTTATTTTATTATTTTTTTGTTGTTAAATATGTTAATAACTTACCGAAAACCTTCCTTCTTTATCCTTCGTCACTGGTGTTTGTTTTACCTTTTTTGTACTTGCCTAAATGTACTCCTTGTTCCTGTTTATACTCGCTAGTCGTTCACACATGAGATGGTCGCATTCGCACTACGCGTTTGTTAGACAGCACGCTTACTGATGTTTCACCTAATCAGTCAATTGGGGCAACTTATAATCCAATCATATATGGCCTTTGATTATAACGACGGTTATACTTTTCGAAATTCAAATCTGTAACTCTTCTTACTATGCTGGTCGTGTTGCAAATGGATTGCGTTGAAAAAAACTTCATATTTGAAAATTATTGACAATTGTTACGCAATCTCTTTTTCACTAATTAATGTTGAACTAAAAAGACATCCTAACAACATAAATATTTAGTATCTTGAAAACCAAACTTTTGTTGTCTAAACTGTCGTTATCCAACAAAATCAATTGTATTTTCCGACAGTAATTATTCTTTCGTGTTTCTTATTTGACATTTTGCGCTTTTTCATTCAATATTTCATTTCTCGATTTTTGTACAATTACAATTGCAAAACCTTCATGATTCAATCTTACATGAACTAAGGTGCTTTTTTTAAAACTTCAAATTCGATTTCTTGTCTTATTTTGTAAAAAAAATCTATAGTACTCCATCTCTTATTCAATCAGTGTCGTTTCCTAATCTGGTTACGTTAAAGAAAATCATTCATTTCTCTTTTCAGTGTTGTACCACTAAACATTCAACAATCCACCTATTCTAATTGTAATATTTCTTAATTTTGTTGATGTCTTCTTTGAGAGACTTTCCACATGAGAAAATTGTTCTGCAAATCAGTCTTTCTATTTTTACTGTTATTATTATTATTATTATTATTATTATTATTATTATTATTATTATCATCAGATCACTTATTGATCATCTTAACTTAAATCGATAAATATTTTCAAGTGACAATTTAGTAAATTACACTTCAAAACATCACTCATTTTCTCTTACTAAAAATTGACAATTATGTAATAATGAAAGACCCTATGGTCATGATAATACGAAACAACTTATTTTTATACATCTCGATATTCGATGGTATAATTCACAGAAGAACCGCGTATAGTGATGTGTACTCTACGTGATCTATCAAGTATATGTAGAAACGAAGTTTCAGGTTAATTCTTTTTTTTTCGTATTACGTTAATTGTATTTTTCCTAAAAAAGATTTATTTAATGTGTTTACTTTGTTTACTCCCGTTGTTGTTGCTCATACAATAGGGGCATTTAACTAATCTGTTAATGACGAAATCCTGTTGTGTGTTGCTGGTTTTTATGTAGCCCTGCTAGCATGATTGATTCATTTTGTTGTGTTATTATGCAATAAGTTTATTGTTGATACAAATGAACAATAGCGTGAGTGAATGATTGTTTTGTCTTGATTCATAAAAAGTGTTTCTGAAATTTTTTGATTGTCTGTCAGCAAGTGTGAAATAAGATAACCATTATGGATTGCTGTTTCTTGATATTTATTCGAAATGTGTTTGTTTGTTTTCCAACTCTTTAATAATTTATTAATAAAGTTGAATAATGTGATCTTATGTATTTGTTTTGTTACATTTAAATTACTTGGATTTTAGAAGTCTGAAAGTCTTTGTAAGTCACCACCTGTATCCTCCGAATCTAAACCGGGTAAGTATACTTGCAAATGTCAAGTATATTATGAATTGTATATTTACGCCCTATTTAAATATGATTCCTATTAAGGTATGACAGGTGTCCGTTTATCTATCAAAGGGGAGAAGTGCAGTAATTATATATGTTAGCTTTTAAAGCATATACATATATATAATGCTTCACTTCTATATAGAGTACAATTGTTTCAGATTCCTAGCTCAATTTTACGGACTAATATCATGTTATTTTTAGGGTTTCCGTAGTATATCACCACAGCTTAGCTTACTACTAATAGTCTCAATATAATTAGTGTGTACGTTTTGCACGATTGATTGATTTTACTTCAACTTTGAATCTCCTGACATTATTATATATTTATTTGAACTGGTACCACTTATCGTTATTCATAGATCCTAACAACTCAGAAGTATCGGCTGAAGTATCGAATTTCGAGGTTACTGATGTTACACAGGTTCCAGAACCGCCTATTTCGATTGCGACTGATACCAAAATAGAAGTGGAATCACAACCGATACGTAGAAGACAGTGGGGATCACGCTCAATCGCGAGCACCCCATCATTGTCTTCAGAATCTTTAGAGGTAAGTTTTTGACTCTTGTTCCGTAAAAAGTCAATAGTGTTTGTTTTCTTAAACAGAAAAGTCTAACGCAAGCACTATTTAAGATCTAAGAAAACCTTAATTATGTACTAAATGTGACTTCATTTGTTGATCAGTCTTAAAAAAACCTAGTCATATATCAGCTAAAATCCTGATATGAATTAGCAGCCATTAGTCATTGATGGTTAGCTTAGTTCACTTGTGTTCTTAGTTGTTGCACCCGTGCAACATACGTCGAAAACTACACAGTCAAAAATGTGTGTTTGCAACTTCATACAATAATTTGTGGGCTTCACGTAATACTTAGCACATAAACGGCACTACATAACGTAGAAGTTCTGTTATAAACTAGGAATCTTTTAAAGACACTACAGTTAAAAGTTTGCAGCTTCTGTTCGTCTTTCATCTTTAAAATCCGTACTTCTGATGGTGTCAGTTGTCGAGTTTTTTAAACTTACAGATTTTCATTCTTACAATTTCCATGACCCTACCTTAGCAGAACTACAGTCATAACAGAATCAACCCTTCGTACTTTATATATTTTTGAAAAGTAAACATTCAATACATGAGTTGGGACCTGGTTCGGTCTGAGCACCCGGGCATTGTCACATCCCACACACAAATCAAGTGACTTGTGTGGCGCGCATGTATTTGGTGCTCATTTGTACCAATATTTGTGTTCAGATAAATAAATGAGTTGGAGATAAAATTAGCCAGTCAGGAACTTGGAGATCACACTGAACAATAATGAATGATGCCAAAATATTAGTTACTGTGGGTAGCAATCATGTTTTCAGTGTGCGTTCAGGTCTCATCGATTGACTGTCGAGTAATAGAAAAAACGTCAATCTCAAACTGAATCAGCGGTGTTTAAAAATAAAATAGTATTAACCACTATAGTTCTGGGCATAAACTCCTTTCAGCTGAAACTTAACTGGGAAGCTTTCACAATTTACCCATAGTTGAATTGACTCCAAATCAAGTTTCTTATTTTTATTATTGTTATTATCAATTTGTTTTATAGAAACTCATACCATCTTCATGTTGGATACGAAGTAAAAATGCAGTGATAGATAATGAAAATGATGAAGTTTCACGTACATCACCTGTCTCTATTCAGGACACCGCTAGCCATATTGATGATTTAAATGAAAAAGGTGAACCGTTTAATGATGATGTTGATGATAATGCAAAAGAGGAAAATAATGAGTTTGATCATAGAATAAAAAATAAATTATTCACCGACCATAAAGGTAATCTAAATATTAATGAAGAGGATAGTTCCAACAACAGAATTAAAGACAATAATAATAATAATAACAATAATATTAATAATGATCGTTTACATCTTGAGCGTGAGCTTGAATTAGAAGTAGATGCAGTTGTAGAAAACATGGATACTTATGATGACAATAATAACTCTATTGAAGAAATGTCAGTTGCATATGATTCTCGTACTGTTCATTTATCATCATCTGATATAAGCCCAAAATTAGATGTTATTATCAAGCGTGGATGTGTTGTTAATACTGCTTCTACTACTACAACTCCTATTAATATAACACCAACAACAACAATGACTGTTGCTTCTGTAACTACAAGCATAAATGTTAATAATCCTACTATTACACAGTCTACCAATCAAATGATAACAAAAATAGGAGAAGGATTACAATCGAATTCATCGCATTTAACTCAAACAAAAAAATCACCACCGCCTAAACGTAAAGGTCCTAAAGGTAATTAAAGAAATGTATATATGCAATTTACTTAATGTATAATCCTCTATACTTTATTCCTAACTTGTATTGTAACTACTCGTTATTATTTTGAATGAGATTGAACATAACTAATAAATGTTTTATCGTTTCTAAATTGTTTTTGTATGGAAGAAAGCTAGGGATGGCATGACATCAATTCATGAAGTTATTGGCAATTGGAATAAGCCATGTTAAGAAATGTAAACTATCTGGTTGGGGTCCACTTCATTATCGTTACCAATGGTTGAAGACTTGGGATAACATGGCTCAAAATCGTTTGGAGCTGCCTTGGTTTACCCACACTTGTTTTCCCCCAAAATTTAAGCTTCTAAATTCTTGATCATTTTCTTATTTTATTGATTTATATTTTCATGTATCTATATTTAATTCTTTCTATTATCATCTGTACCATTCTGGGATTCGCCCTGACAACCACCTCTACAAATGAGGTATGGTAAAATGATTCAGTGTTAACACAGATCAGGTTTTACATAGCGTTGTACTGACTGACTTTGAGTCGAGTTTATCGTCATGTTTTAGTGATGTTTACGTAGATTGAACTGCCCTATAGAAATAATTATATCAAGGTTTTCTAAGAAATGAAGATGTCAGTAGCTTAATGGCTAAGACGTGCGACTTTCAACCACGATATTATTGTTAGCACACTCACACTGTTATGATTAATTTTTCTGTTCAAATCAGTGCAATGTAATTGCTTTACTTGGTAAATATTGCACAAGTCGAAGGTTAAAAAGGGTAATTCACTGAAAAACCAACTCACTTATCACATATATTTATTTTATCAATCTAAATTTCAAATCCATCTATTAAGTCTGCTTATTCGGTAAAGTATTCTTTTACTGTCTAGTTTTCTCGAGCATCTTACTTCACTCGACTGGTTCGATAATCAAAATACTAATTGAACAGAACGTAAATACATATTACGTAACAAAACAGTAAGTTAGGTACAAAAATGTTAGTATATATGTAAATTTTACGCAGTGATATTTCAAAGTATTTCCAGCTCGTTGATTGGTGTTGAACGTAGATATAAATTAAAGGTTACGAACATAATTGTTACTCTTCTATCGACTAAAATTAAATTTCCTGTTTCTGTTTCTGCATTATTTCTTATTTTTCAAATTAGAAACAAAGGCTGTAGGCTATTTGGTTGAACCACCAGAGCGTATTGAACCCATACAACCTGCTAAGCATCCACAAACGGATATTGTTTATATTCGCTTTCTTGTACGACCATTTACTGCTGAACAATTGCGTCAAATGGTTGTAACTCATTTCGGTCCAGTTGTTGATCTATGGCTGGATAAAATCAAATCATCTTCACTTATACGCCTGCAAACAGTTGAATATGCTGCAAAGTAAATAATATTTATTGATTAGCGTAGTTTATATACACTGTAAACCGTTTATCTATAAACTATGTATTACTTGTATGTCTACTACTACTTCTACTACTATATAAATGAAGTTTATATATGACCAATTTTTTAGGTGTTACTTTTGTCTTACTACTCAGTTGAATTAAAATTCTCAGTGATTCTAATTTCTTGTCGAGTATGCAAAGTTCTAATGTTTTATAAGCTCTTGGTGAAGCCACTTCTCAAGATAAACTGTCATCGTTTTTCAGCTAACCTTTTCTTATCCAACTTGAAAATAATCATTCTTTGTACTACCAATTTTGTATAATTAAATGACCTGAGTATGATGCTTCCTATCATATGGTTTAATTATTGCCTAGATATCATGTTTTCTGACATAAATATTTGAGATTTAACAACATCATACATTGCACATACTTCTTGATCTAGTTAGAACTGATTCTCTTAATTAAAGTTCTAAATGAAAGTTGACCAATTGTCGAATGTGATATGAATTTCCTTTGAGTTATTGCTACACCTTAGCTATTAATGTAATTTGTGTGTAGATCTGGTTAAACCGCCATCACCATATGTTTATCATTGAAACTCTTTAATTATCACAGTATCTATTTAATAATTAAATACATTTAAATATTGACATATTGTATTCCATACAGATGTCGTGACGGATTAGATGGAAGTCGTTGGCCATCAATGAACCCACGTGTGTTACGCTGCGACTATGCAAGTACAGATTTATTTGAATGGATGAAGGTCAATGGAGATTCTAGTGATCTTCAACCACCGAAGCATTTGTTACTTGGTGATGCTTCTTCGAATGCAGAGGTTTCCACTGTGGGAGCTGATAAATCGGGTTTGTACTTTTCGATTTTTATAATTGATTCATTTTTGCTCTCAATTCCATTTACAATTATAGTTATATTAAATATCGAAGTTTTTTTATTTTGAATCAACAGAATTTAAATTATACCCCTTTTTAAGGTTCTAAAATTTCTATGGCAATGAAATTGTTCATAGTCACTATTAAGTTAAAGGTTCTCACGCTGGTTAACTTTATTCGATTTGGAAAATCGGATAGTATCACTAACACTATTCTGCGTATCTTAACGCTCTTATTAGTAGATAATTTATTATTATCACCCTCCCAATTCCAACTGCAGAAATCGAATATCAACGCTATGGTAAATCCAATATAAATACATTTCAACATAACTTGTATTATGTTTTCAATAACTATTACCCAACGTCAAACTATTAAGAAGACAAAAATTTTATTTTCTGCCCTAATCTAAGATAATACACAGGAAAATGTATCCTCGAAAATCTACCATCCAGAATTCGAGTTCCATGGCGTCCGACTCAATGGTACACACGATCTAAAAGTTTGAATTGGTGACCGTTAACAAATCGTGTTTGCCTGATTTTAGTTGAATTTTTTAAAAAGAAAAATCAATACAAATTATATTTGTACTTTTATAGTAGTTTTCATTGATTCCTTGGTATCAATATAACGTTAAACTTCATTGCTTATTGTTTCGTATATCTTATCTGTTATATTATGTGGTTGTTGAATGATGTGGTTCTAGAAAAAAGGTTACAACATCATATACTCTCCATATTTTCTTCATTCTTTCGATTCATTTTTTCGTAAAATTTTGTTTTGGTTTCCGATCGAAATTACAGTTATAATTGTTATTCATATTTTGGAATTTTTTTTATTTTTTCATACTTGTGGGTTTTCTTGTTCACCAAAACCAAACTTATACTAATAGTTATTATATGCTCACTAATGATTAATTTCATTGCATACAATGGAACTTGATCACGCAATATCACAGATTCATTAAAGTTAGATATCAGGCGTTCACATATGAAACTGAAAGACCTGGATTCGATCTTCTGTGGTTGGCCCGTGAATATTGCATTACTCTGGCGTCCAATACTAAAAAGGAAAACCTGTCCAGTGTTTTTTGGTTTTCAGATCGATTTGTGATATGAGTGGCATGAAATAGTCTCCACACGTATTTATATTGTTAGTTGTTTGTTAAACTACCGATATGTCATAAAATTCCCTAGTTTTACCATACTTGATTGTTCATCATTGTTCTCATTCTCCTCCGTTATATGAACTATTTTCTTGATAAGTGTTTTGTTCTATGTTTTTAGATAATGGTTTTACGACATCCACAGACCAAGAAAAAAAGCCTACCGATCTAAGACGAAAATTAGAACGAAGCAATCGAGATGTAGAGCAGCCTCTTTCAGTTACCAAATCTCGACAAGGTGAAAATAAGGAGTCTCCAATAGCTGAAGCGAAACGTAAGTATTTAGTCTGATTCAATATTGTGTCATACTTGTCTGATTTTACTTTCCTGTTTATCATCATCAAGTCTTTGGATTGGGAAAATATATTAGAATGATACTTTTCTTTGGTAATAAGTTGTGTCGCTGTTGGGTTAAATACTCTTTCGGCCAACATGTAAATTTTATACCGTTTTAACTGTACGAATTACGCCATAAGTTACTTGTACACAAAAGCGGCCACTGAATTTGTAGTGATTTAGGTAAGCACTGAACTTTTATTAGGTCAGAGTTCGTAAATCAAAAAATCTCGTTTAATGCCGATTGCCGGATTGCATTCGTTGCCATCTCTTTTCGCCTAAAAGACAGAAAAAACGAGGGAAACACATCAATAAATTTTTAACTAGTGTTTATTATTTAGTCAGTATTGCTATCGTAAAGTGTTTAGTTTTTCAGTTTTCTCAATTTTAAAATGAACTGAAAGGTGTTATACATTGGGAAAGTGGTCAAGCCCCTAAGATTTCTGTCGTCCATTCTCTGCACTTATCGAACAATTTAATTCACTACGTCGTGTTGACTACGACTGAATTTAATGGAATAGAGGCAACATTAAGGAAGTTACGTTGAAGCTATTATTGCTTCTGAACACTCAGATCTCGACTCTCATATCTCATGTCTAAGCTGAGTGGGATGGTTTTTAGGTGTTAGAACGTTCGACTGTTAGCCGATAAGCTCCATGTTCGAATACTGCTACGCCTTTGGTTTGTGTAAGCAGACTGTACCACTAGCCTGTATACACACAGTTTGACCCATACCTAACTACCTGTTGAATTAGTCAACTATTTTCATATCTAAACTGAGCTACTTTCCATAGTATGAGGTACATAAAATCATGTCTGACCGGTATACAAAAATTCCGATATTTTTTTAATGAATAGACTTCTTTTAATCAGTGTTGTATTTTTGTATAACTCAAATGTTGAGACAGTGAAGTTAGCAATTCTGGGGTTAGTTTTTAGGTGACGAGGTGATTAGTAGCGTCACGAGATAACGAGTTTTCGTTGTTCAATGTAGTTGGAACGTTTTGCGTTCGGAAGTATTTTAAGAGAATGCCAGGGGCAGCCAAATTGAAACGTGAGACCAGTTCATAAAGCCATAGGATTTGTGTAAGTCATGTTGGTAGATGTAGGCTATCTGCGTGGGTTCCACGCGAAAATCTTAATCACTGACTTGAAGACTTCGGGTAACATGGATCAAAATGATTCACAGTGGTTCTGATGCGTTCGCCTTTTGTTTTCTTTTAGATCTCGAGTCCCTAAATTGCCTTGTTTTTTAGTTCCTTTAATCTGTATTTCCAAAGCCTTTACTTGTACCATAAGTACGGTTACTATCTCAGTTATTTGCCTCAACAATTTCATCTCGCTGCGGAGATAGGGTTTGGCAACTTGAACTGATCTGCACATGTGTCGTCAGCTTCCATGTCAGTCGAATTTGAATCACTATTTTTAAATGGTACTATGATAATTGGCTATTTGTAGACATCACTTTTTCTATGATTATTTATTATTATTATTATTATTATTATTATTATTATTATTATTATTTCGATGCCTATTCAATTTAGCTAAAAGCGAAGAACCTGCAAAGTTGTTGAATAATTTATTTCGTAAGACAATCGCCACTCCTTCCGTCTATTGGCTTCCTTTAACACCTGAACAGGCAAGTAAAATCTGTCTAATTCTGTTTCGTATTATTTATGTTCCCTATAAAATCAACCATTCTAGAAGAACATGTAGGGAATAAATCAGTACACTGTAAAATCATATAACATCATTTCACTATTCTTTCATAATTTATCCACTTGAACTTCAGTCATACCTTGACATGTACGAACACATAGTTTCAGATATTTTGGCTTAGGAGAGATGGGATGAAAAACGTAATCTTCAAAATCAACTACACTAACCAGGATATGGTTAACGAGTCACATCACTGTCAATTCATAAACAATAAGTAGAGGATGCCAGAAAAATCTAGAGGATAATGACATCAAGTGTTTACTATTAAAGTTGTTAGATTCATGGGAAACAACATACTAATTATTTTTATTTTTCAGTATATAATTTCCGTTTGTTTCACACCAATATTCTCTACAAGAACTACCGTCCATTTCTTATCGCCATTGTAAACATTTTTACTTTTGATCGATCCCTATTTCTCGTGTTTTCTGTTATAACCCTTCTATGCGTTTCCACGGTTTGCCTGAATTATTATTCATTTGTTCTATGGATGCGAAACTTCCATGGGAGGTTGTGCTTTCGAGTAGCTAGGACTAGAATAAAAAAGGTATCTTACTTTCTAGTTTTCCGAATGGGGACTAGATGTTTTTGTTGTTATTGGTCCACGATACTTCATTTCCAACAAAATGTTTCGATGCATTTAACCAATATCTATTTCACCAGTTTTGAGCAATTAGTTTAGAACTCCATATGCTTCCATGAACTGAAATTTAAATCACTTACGCTTCCGTCTAATCGTTTCAACATTAGCAACACATTTTGTTATGCTGTCTGTTTCGATTATAATTGATGTTTCACTGTGCCACTTCTTACTGTCTTCGCTTGTATCATTCACAAAGATTATTTAAAGCCCATTGAAAATATCATGTTATTTTGTTTCATCGTTTCGTTTTTTTTACTTTAAAAATTGATTAGGTTAATCGACGAATAAAAAAATCGGTTACTGATAAATCGGATGCTAAAAAAATAACAAGCCGACATTCCTCACATCCATCAGAAGAGCCAGTACAAAAAGCAACCCGTAGTCCATTTGCTAATTCTTCCTCGTCTTCGACTTCTCCTCCTTCCTATCCCTCTAGTCGTATTCCCAATCAATCTCGCAGAAATCCGACTACAGATCGAAGCTCTAGACCGAAAATCCCAGATGCAAAGTTGTCCTCCAACTCTAAGTCGAGTGGTGATATTGTTAGGCATAATTCGACAAAAAAACCAGTATCAGGTAATGTATTGTACGACAGTAAACATTCAACTTCTGAATCTAAACCGAAATCTATCAGAGATTCAAAAGGTGAGAGTCGTGACATCGTAGCAGTCGACAATAAACAACAAGGTCGGTTGTCAAAACAAGATACTTCATCTAATAGTTCTACTTTGCCGAAAATTGATAAACCTTCTGATAATAGTCGCAAAAAGGAATTGGTGAGTTTACGTGTTAAGACTGTCAGTGTTATGTTTAAACTATAGTTTATCTCACAACCTGTGCTTCGAAAATCCCATAGTGTATGTCTGTTGATTTATACATAGTGTTGTACAAACATATGTCCTGATTAGAAAGGTATTATATACTGACGACCTTGGTTGACTGGTCAGCCGGTCAGAATGCACTGTCTAGTTGTAAAACCATTAACAGTGGTCGATGCAACCACGATTAGGTCTGAAACCAGCTTGGTTTTCGCGTGTTTGCAGTTCACGAGTCTTTGTTAGACGCCCGATAATTATTGAGGCTAGTATTTTAGATGCTATGTTAGTTAAACTAATCAATCTATGGTCATCGCAGGATGGTTTTGAGCCCTTCTAGTATATTGGGACCTGTTCGCATATATAACCGGACGTCCTGTATTGCCTCCCCTCTGTTGAATTTGTAGATACTCAATTCTGACGAGCCTCATGCTAGGAAAATGCAGTTATCTAGATAAGATCAATTTCTATGATTAAAACTATGAAAACTCTACAATTGTTATGGATTAACTTCGAGATAAGATGTGCACCAACGATGTACACATTTCAGAAAATAACACTAAGCGTCGACTACAGTTCCATTATTGAACAGACAGATCCCCAAACCACAAGCACACAAGGCGAATTTAGGCAGAAATGCCAATGCTTACGAACGAATAAAGAGTCGAGTGAATTATTAAGAATGAAGCACATATGTATGATGGAGCAAATGATTTATCATGCGATTTAAGCAAGTAATAGGGGAATTTGTATAGGATGTAATACGTGATCAAGAACACAAACATGACAATGATAATAATAATATTAATAATAACGCAAAGGTATACACATTGTTACTATTGGAATGACACTATGTCAAAAAAGCTAATTGAAGACCTTGACAGAACTAAGCGTAAACAGACTTAAGTATAGGTGAGGTTCTATTGGGTTTTCGTCACCTAATGACATCAGTTATACGGCAAAAGTTTAAGGTTATAGATGAAGAGTTAAATTGTAGTTTTAAGTTGGTTTTAAAAATCGAAATCAAGGATTACTTCGTGGATTAACATCAACTATAATACAATGCCTTGCCATCTTCCGGTTTACGAACTTCAGAAGAATAGAAGATCATCATGTTACTTCACTAAACACTTGATTACACAATGGCATTAATTGCTTAGATTCACAATTTGCCCTCGAAAAAAGTTTGTCGTTTAATTTAGCTTGAGGACCATTTAAAATTCACTTAATCGTTGTATCGTAAGTATTTTGATTGGTTTCAAACATTTTAAAAATAAAATATTGGTAATTTTCTCTTTGTTTACATTAGCTTAGGCGTAAATTATCGTTGCATTTTAAACTTTAGGCAAAGTAATTGCTGTTATTTTGATTCTTCTATGTTCGAGATATCTGGAAATAGAGCGTATATCAAAACGAAGCTAATCTATTCCTCTGCGCCTAGCTATGCTAACTAGTGGAAGTGGACCAGAGTAAAGAGTTAAACATACCTCATTATATAATAACAAACACAGAACTTATGTGTACTATACGCAATACAAAAATATGCTTGAAAAGCGTCACAAAATAACATACCTACAATAGTAAACCTATAGCGTTTAAGACCCTTTCAGGTGTGACACATTAACTGTTATTTATTATGAACGCTTTTGGCTTGAAAATGAGAAATTCAAATTTCGACAATTGATTTACAAAATCAAGAAGTTTTACAAGTGATTTCAGGGACTCTATCATCCCCAATATCTCCCCTCTGTTATTGCGTATATTGATGGAGTTCACCTGCGTCTTGACTGTATGTCCTTTCTGTTGTCGTAGTAACCACCTCGTGGAACGTAAGTCGATTTATTCGAACGTGAGTCTGCATAAACTTATTGTGAATTTCTAGCTTAAAAGCTTATCAATGAATATCGTACAGAGACAAGTGTATGACCATCTAAGCTTTCAAGTTCTCATTTCGGCGGTGATAAAATGCCATGAACCATTATTGTTTCGTCTGATTATTTATGCTATTGTGAATACATAGTTGTGAATGCTTTTAAAAGATTCGCCAATCCATCTTAAAATTTGCTTTATTCTACATTATCTAGTCTCCATCTGCACATACACGAAAACGCCGTTACTCAAAGACGGATAGCGATGATAAAGAAGTGATTCCTTCAAAACAGAGTCGACCAAGCTTAACATCATCTGGTGATTCGTCTGTTGTAGGTGAAGCATTGGCAGCCTATAAGAAGAACCATATGGGGCCACAACATCATCGTTCGGAACACCGTAGACGTTCATCCAGCAGTCGTCATAACTCTCCAAACCATCGTAGTAACTTTAAGAGTAGTTTTCCAGAAGGTTCTCGTGTCAAAGACAAGACGGATTCCATGTCACATTCTCGTGAAAGCGGTCGACGTCGTTCACGTTCATTAAACCAAAGACATCGTTCACGATCTACTGGACGTAGAGATCGTTCCTCATCAAATCGTTATCGATCACGACGTTGACTTCGTGTCTTATATCATTTAAATCAATATTCATACACATACATACAAATGCATTGTATATGGCATAAAATCTCATTGTTTTTTTTTTTGCTGGCGTTTCCTTCTTGTGTTATAATTCTTCTCTTTGTTTTCCGAAAAAATATATATTGTTTTGTCATTTAATGAAGACATTGTCAGTTCAATGAAATATGAACATGAAATTTTATTCATTTTGCATTTCTACATTTTAAAAAAAAAAGCAGTAAGAGAAATCGATATGATCCTATTTGTGATTTTGATAAACTAATTATTGAACTGTAGTAGTTTCACATGAAACTGTCGATGTCTTCCTGTGTGGAATTCTAAAAAAAAATATTCATCTTTTATTGGAAATAAATCGTTTTGCGTGATAAAATAATCTTTCGTTATTCGAATGTCATACGAGGAGTGGTAATACTGCCTACCTTAATATTGACCAAAAAGGGTGTCATCATCCCTATGCACAAATGAACCTGATTCATTCCATTTTGCATTGTTGATAATTACTTTGATTTAGCTGTGTGTTTTGCAGTTTGAGAATGTTTTTGCTTGTTTATATATTTATTTGAACACTTAAATACTGGTACAAGGGGACATCAGATACATATGCGCCATACAAATCTCATTTGATCTATGTGAGGGCTTTGATGCTGTCCGGGTGCTCAAACCGAAGTAGATTGTTTTCTTAGGGAGCCACACGCGGAGACTTCCACCTAAACGTCAGATCTAAAAGATAGTGATGCAACCTAAGGAGATGCAGCCCCGTGGATACTGGAGCCTATGAGCAATATTGGTTTGGAAACAGGAGTTCTCGGCTCTCTGTGTCTAACATCTCGGTTAAAACGCCGGACATTTGCATTTCGTCCTCTCCATTTCGTAAACAACTCCCCGGCCTCGTGAATGTAGTGAGTAGGACTTCCCTGGCAGAGCTTATATACGCGTGGTCATGTGAGAGCATTTCGAGAGGGGACTGTCGGCCGTACCAGGGCATTTGGGGGCAAATATATCGTTTTCGCTAATTGGGTACTGCACAGATGGTAGTCGATCGCCATTTAAAGGTTAAATGAATGATTGTCCAAACTCTTTTAATATCATAATGAGAGATACACAGGGGGTCGTACAATTTTTCCTTTTGTTTATCAGATATACACTTAAAGAGGAGTTATTTTAGACAAATAATGAAATACTAGTTCTTCGCAGTAAATACATTATTGAATTTATCCAATAACGTTCTCTTAATGCATTATTAGACTGTTCAGTATACGTGTTACCTTTAATTGGTATACGATTAGGGTGTCGAAATTATTATCTATTTGTAGGTAAGGTTCAATTTTTTGTAACCTGTTGCAGCATAATTGTACATTGCGAAAAGACATGACTATCCTCAGATTCTGATAAACAGAACTTTGTAGTGCAATATCATATGAGTGACTCTCAATAAGGGTCCAGTTGTTTAGTTCCGCTTCAACACTGTCGCTTAATGCAACATCTATCAAACCGGATGAATAGTCTATAAACGAGCCCCTTGGATCAATTGATGGATTTGAGGCACTTCAATCTCATCTCCGTTTCAGAAATACAGCAAAAGTCGATATCAAAACATCCCAAAGGCAAACCTATACGTTGTCCGATCTTCAGTATGTGTACATTGATGAAGTTTAGTTTGAATGACAAATGCTTCCAGAAAAGCTTATTCGTAAATAGAATTTAGAAATTCAGCGATTTGAAATGGCTTAGGTTAAACATAAGTATAACCGTAGACAAGTTGCTGAGTGAAATGAAGAGTAAATGCAAATACAGAATGTAATCAGAACTAAATATATAGTTGGAACTTCGGTTCAAGTTGCTATGACAATAGCACAGGTAGGAAAAATATTCAAGATAAATCCCTGACCAGTAGAAGTGGCATCAGTATTAGTATTAAAAAGTCAGTATTGAGAAAAAAGGATCTTGGAACTTCGGTTGCATTTATATGCGCCACTATGAACAGTTCTGTATCATGTCACCCTAATTTTCTAACCGCTTATTACTATAATCACTCGAACCCCAACCGCATGGTCTACGCTTAACGTTCCTCGCACCAACTACCAAAGACTTGATGGACTGGTACTTCGTTTTGATTTGATCGTCTATAGCTACCTGCTTACTGCATCACAGATGTCATAGTAATTTGGGGTGGGGCATACGTCATATTTGACATGTCCTCTGCCATATTTGAATGATTCGGGATACCACACAGATGTCCAGACAGAAGCTGGGGGTTTAGTTGTTGGAGTACATGGTAATAAAAAATGAGTTCATACGCTATTCGGCCGCTCAAGATCAAAGGACCAACGTGTAGGTTTTCCTAACTCTCTCTGGCAAACCTCCAGTACCCAACATCTATCATAGTTTATCGAATCATAAACACTGCTTACAAACGCCTGTATACATAGTCAAACTTGAAACTTATAGTTGATGAGACGGAAAATCTAGTTATTCATACTTTTCCAAGCAATGTCACCTCGCTATCCGTTCTGCATAACGAACGTGTGATCAGAGTTCCCTTACCAAATCTTTAGTAGATCCATCTTCACGACAGTCACTTGATATGGCGTATAACAGCCTAATCAATTGGAATTGGAATGAATTTGTTTTTTTCTAGTTATGTGCGACATATATTCACATCTAAAGAAGGATTATAGATGTTTAATTATGCAATGTTATAAATGTGTGCTCATACAGTGAGTTATTAAATTATTATTATTAGGTAAAACTCAGTTCAATATATGCAGATCGACCTATTAATCTAACTGAAGATAAATCATGTTGAATCTGATGTATAGTCATGAATTCTTGCATCTTTTTCTTTGTGTTCAAATTATTTGGTAGATTCAGTCTGCGGTTATTAATCGAGTCTATGAAGTCGAATCATGCGCTTATTTAGCAAAACTAATAAACTGCATAACTACCTAGTGCTACTCATATCGACAGACATAAGTAGTATGTGACAAAAATCGAATGTGGAATGCCTGGCAACAGGAGATTGAGAAGATCGAATAGAAGTGAACGTGAACAGAGATCGATTGGTATGGAAATGAAGGAAAAATGTCTGGTACAATTGATAGACATTTTGCAAATGAAATAATGAGCCTATGGTATTTATCAAATAGCTCTGTAAGTTTGCATTCAGGTACGTTGTGTTGTTGCAACTGTGTGTCCTCGTTCATTACAATATTACCAACATGATCTCATCCTAAATTAAACTGTATAACCAGTTGACAAGGCAACACTGCATGGTTCTTTTACAAAATAATAATAATAACGGCGAGAGCTTAAACACTAGTCTCGCGCGCGAGACTGATAAGTCCTGGGTCCGAATCCCACGAGGCCGTGTCGTGGATGCGCACTACTGAAGAGTCCCACAATAGGACGAATCAGGGTCCAGTGCTTCCATGTTGTCCATGGTGGTCTAGCTACAACTGACTCATAATATCCACATAACCCCTCCTGATATAAATGTGAATATGTTCAGATTTAATGTTGATACGCGCTAATAGTTTATGTCTTAATACGGTCAATGTTATTTCGGAGTAAACAGAATTGAAATTAAACATAATATTCCTCAGTTAGTTTTTATCTTTCAACATTTATTAATTAAAAACAGGTTTTTTTTGAAGATTGAATAGCATCTCTCCTACGATAGAATCTGTTTACGCTTAGTTCTGTCAAGGTGTGACATTACAATAGTAACAATGTGTATACCTTTGCGTTATTATTAATATTATTATTATCATTGTCATGTTTGTGTTCTTGATCACGTATTACATCCTATACAAATTCCCCTATTACTTGCTTAAATCGCATGATAAATCATTTGCTCCATCATACATATGTGCTTCATTCTTAATAATTCACTCGACTCTTTATTCGTTCGTAAGCATTGGCATTTCTGCCTAAATTCGCCTTGTGTGTTTGTGGTTTGGTGATCTGTTTGTTCAATAATGGAACTGTAGTCGAAGCTTAGTGTTATTTTCTGAAATGTGTACATCGTTGGTGCACATCTTATCTCGAATTTAATCCATAACAATTGTAGAGTTTTCATAGTTTTAATCATAGAAATTGATCTTGTTGTGGTCGGTGTTCGATATATTTCTTAAACTCTGGATACAGTTCGCTTCGGTAACAGTCACTAAATAACGCTCCAACGGTATATTAATTATAGGACCACACACAGATATCCTAAATTACAGATGCGTTAGGCTAGCATGAAGGAATTGTGCCGAAAAGCTAACAGGCACGCGAGAGAGCAAGAGACAGAGTACGATAGAGCGAGACGAGAGCAATCAATATGAGTATGAATAACATGGACATATATATACATAGTGAAATGAATGAATTATCGAATCAATTAAGCGGTTAATATTAAGGCTAGTAGCGTGAATATATGCATAGGCGGTAAGGCTTGCCGAGCATATATGTTCATACATTCGCAACAATAATAAAGATACAATGGTATAGATAAATTGTTGTAGGAATGACTCAGTCCGTTAATAGGTTAATAAAATGACTTAACCGAAATAAATGTGAACAAGCACAATCACACGTGAACTGTTATAATAGCTCACCCCAGCAAACAAAGATACAAGGGTCTGTGTATGCGAAAAAAAAATGTCGAATTTAACAGAGTGGGAATTATCGAAATTTACGATATTAAGATATGTGACAGAACTATCGTGTAAGTTATTACAAATACGTGTAAGTTTGAGTTCGTATATGTCTGTGAGGCCAAATAATATCATAATGAAAGATCGAAAGTATACACAAAATATATCGATTATAATAATAGATAAGTTGAAATTTTCGATATGTACATAGAAAATGAAAATGAAATTTACATTTGAAGAGTTGAAAGAAATTATTAATTCAAAATCGTAGCTATGTATCGTTGCGGCCATCTCCCTGTTCGTTTGTGTTCGTCAATGTCGTTGATAATTGGAACT